AGTGCCCTGGGCAAAGCGGCACCTGCCGCTGCTCCCGCCAGACCCGGAACGAGGGGATGCGAAGCCTCCGGACACCCACATTCTCCCCAGCTTCCAGAGCTGCAGGGAGGGCTCCTGCCTCCCACATTTCAAGGACAGGTAACCAACCGGGCGTGAAGCTCTTGTAATAGGGGCAGGATAAGGCTGGGACAGGGACGCACAAGGGCAAGGCGCTCCCCTGCCGTGGGACAAGGTGGCATCGGTGCCACAGCACTGGCTTCTCAAACCCCGGCAGTCTTCACAGCATTGTTCTTGCCATCTCCACCACTCCCTCAGTCAAAACATCCCTCATATCAAGATACTTCCAACACCACAGACTGGCAATACCAAGCACGTATGTTTTAAAACACCATTACCTCATCCCAAGTTCACTTCTAGCCACCAAGTCGAAGCATCAGAAAAGAAAATAAATCAGGTAATTGTCAGCGTATTTGCTTGGTTTTAAATGCTAGAGAGCCACAGACCATTACAGGCTCTACACCACAATTAAAGGCACCAACAAGTCAATCAGCCTTTCACGAATTGTTTTACAGTCTGCCACAGTGTTTTAAATCTTACGAAGACTGAAAGGACTGCAGCCAATCGCTCCTTGATCCTGCCCAACAGTCATTAAAATAGCACTGGGACAAAGGGCCCACATGCACCTGGGAAGTGTCAGCCCAGAGAAGGCCAGGGCGGAATTCAGAGGAAGGGACTTGTCTTCCACGGCAGCAGCACTGCCAACACTGATGGGAGTGAAAATGCAAGGTCAGAAATGAGATTCTAGCCAGGGTCCTCTCTCCAGAGATCTTCACAGTAGAAAAGACTTGGCCTAACAACCACAGGTTCCCCCATTAGGCTGTTAAGTATTTTAACAAAGCCAAGTTCAAATGTGACTGAAGATTAACATCAGAGTAGTGGCAGAAGGCATAAAAATGAAGCCCACACGGAAAGGAAAGCACTCAGGTATGGTATCAGCAGTACTGCAAGCCCTTCTTGGATAATTATTCAAACAGACCTCAGGTTTTGAACCAAAGTGCTCCAGCTGGAATCCACAATCCAGAATAGGGCAGAGGTACCAATCAATAATCAGTATCCTAAAGTAAAACTCTGTTCACTGAGGCTTCCCCCTGAAGAATTGTGACAGTGACTTTAGGTGCCTTGCTTTGAAAAAGGGGGGGCGGGGGAAGCTCACTTTTTAATAAAATGAAAAACTAGATGGTTTTGAAAGTCTGCTTTCCCATTGCCTTAGTTTGCTTTGAAAGAGGCGCCTTTCATGTTACCTTTGTTCAGAGAGTTAATCCAGCACGTAACTGAAGCCTTGGTTTCTTAGGAGGGTGTGGTTGTTCTGACTTCCACAAGCACAACTGGAGAGCCTATCATCTTAAGAAGGTTACAAAATAAGATGCCAAGTTCTGAAAGAAAAAACAATGGCACACAACTAATGAGAAAGTGCTTACCGTTAAATCTCTCACCTTGGCGCTCGACAGACATGCTCACAATTCATGAAACATGAAGAGACTTTGTCTGAACACAAATCTGCCACTCCATTTCTTCTTTCAACTTCATCACAGCCACCGAGATAACAACATAATGCCCATTTTATGCAGTTCAACTCCAACATAAGTCAAACACGCATCCCTGTGATGCAAGTCATTTGTTAATCCTATCCTGATTAAACACTCATTGCTAGACAGCAAAATTAGGGCTAATCACTACATGAAAGACACCCCAATTCAGTACAGAAGACAAAGTGTCTCAATCCCATATTTGCAAAATAAGTTACACTTGTGCATATATAACACATGCGAGACTACAGAAGCATGCAGGAGAGAGCTATACACTCAGTAATGACAGAAAGGAAACAGCAACATTTATGAGTTTATAACCCAAGATGTGTGATCATGTTTTCCAAGTTATTTACCCACCTAAAAGATGTTGGTAGGTGACTAATGAACTCTGGGAAAAAAAACAAAAGAGGATGCAAAGCCTTGCTACCTAACTTACAGTTAAAACACATTTAAAGCTGTTTTGAAATGAAATCAAAGCATTTTGTATGTAGACAAATTTGAGAAAACGCCTTCATTCCCCAGGGCAAATACGACAATTTCCTCAAATATGCACCACGCGTGACGCTATCAGAACACTTCATAGACTAGCTTGAAAAAGCCAAAATCCAAAAACCAACAAAAACTACCCCAAAATTCAACATTTTCCACATTCATACAATTTATTACAAAACGTCAATGAAAATCAGTGTTACGGTATATAAAAAGTTCAGTACATGCCACCGCTCAGCTGACAGATAAAAATGCCTGTAACACAAATTCTTGCAAACAACACTTGAGACCTGAAGACGGATCTTCAGAGGCATCCACAGAAGTTGTTGGCATGCGTCGTGTTTATGGAACGTTAAGGCACGATGATTTTAGAAAAGTCAGCTTCTTCGCATCACTGGTGAATCATCAGTGTTCTGTGCATTTTCTCATACACGACACAAGTATAAATCACCAGAGATGAAGCTTTAAAAGTAACCAAAGCACAGAGGAAGTTAAGAAAAATTGATACGATACACAATGACTTAAAATGGCAAGTGAAAGTTATAATAATACTGTGCAAACACACATACGTTTACTGTAAACAGGCCACAAAGTCTTTTAGTATTAATCATGAAACTGTTCAGAACAACCTAGCAAGTACACGATTAACTCCTTAAACCCAGCACAATTACTAGTCCAAACAGCATACTCTACCAGTTTCGGTATAAAAGGGCATAGAAGGATAATAAACCCACATTTATAAGTATGAAGACAGTGTTACGAAAAGAATCAGAAAAGATACAATACAATTGATTAACATTGAGTATATAAAACAAGCCGTTTTACAACACGATCTTCGGACTTTATGTTTGTTTTAACACAGGTCTTGATCTGCGGCATCCATCTTTTGCATGTGAACGTTATTTCGGTCAAAGAAAACAGAGCACCATCCACTTAGAGAACTGTACGCTGCTGCGAACAAAAGTGGAAAACAAAGAGCATTAGAAAGGACAAACTCTCAGCGCTGTCAGAGCAGCCCGAGCCCCTCCAAGCGAAGCAGCACAATCCAGGGAACAGGGTGTTGCAGTTACTGCAGCAGAGACCTGCATCAGAACTGGGATCAGCTGAGTCAGATGCCGTTTAGCCCCAAAGGTTTATCACAAGTGTCTAACAAGAGCATATAGATGAGAATCTATTTTTAGTTACTTTCTTAAGCACCCACACCCACCTCTGTCTACAAAAATGCAAGAACTGTGTTACAGCCCATCTCACCAGTAACGCAGACCAGAAACCAACCTCAGCCTGCTACATGAAGCATTACTTCTGGTGAGGAAAACAAAACCCACCCATCTGAGCAGGGCTAAAAGAAACAAGTAGGTTTGATGTCATGCACAAACACCTCTTAATGACACTGCTTAGGTAAAACAGGAAAGCAAACAGATTTTTTTTCAAGCATTCATATGGCAGTAATCACACGGCTGAAAAAACAGATACAGGTCTGTAATTTCAAAAATAACTACCAGGTTTTGATGTCTCTATAGCTACTTGCCAATCAAAAAGGCTGATACAAAATCAGAATTCCAGTCTCCCCTGAAAATTGGGCCCTGCTTAAGAACCTGTGTTAGACTTGGAACTTGGGAGACACCTCCAATTTGCCAGTCCCAAAAAATACTCATTCCCAAGAGGAAAAAATAGTTTAATAGCTTAATCTAAACATTCACCTGACAGAAAAAAAGAAATATCCTAAAAAACACTGTTGTGTCAACTCACTTGTGAAGTGCAGTGCAATACTCATCCAGACTACACTTGCTGACCACAGCTGGGAAAAGGAGCACGGAAAGCTGACAACAGGGCCCCTTGCTCTTTCCCATTCTCGCAACGGGAATTCTGTTCAATACACAATTCCTTAACATTTTAAGGAAGTCATTTCTCATAACAACCAGAATGAGCAAGAGAGCATTAAGGCTTTAAAGTCAGAGTCCACACCTTGCTAACCAAATTCAACACTCAAATTCAAAATCAACCTGCTTCGCTATGCTGCTACTCCAAGTAGGACAGAGAAACTAAATCTCTGCCATTGCCTGCCTAACTCTAACCTGTTACAGGAGACACCTCAAGAAAAAACCATAACTGATGTTTCAGACTCATGAAGAGACTGGAATGTCCAATGAACAGGAGGGCTCAGGTGCACAGCCGTGCACCAGCGTTACCAGCATCAGCAACCCAATATCCACCTTTTATACACTCACAGAACACACTTAGGCAAAATATGTTTGTGCATTTTCAGTGTGGATTCATTTCACTGCTCCTTCCTAATCTCCTTATGAAACTGTATTTTATGATACATCAGGTTGATATTGTTCTTCATGAATTTGATCTCCAGTTTTATTAGACTAATCTTATAGTTCCCCATACTCCTTTCACCAGTACAGCTTTAATAAATGTCTCCATTTGCATCATCTAAGAAAGACGATACATTTCTCCAGCATGCCGTTAAACCCAAACGTTCTCAGTAAGGAGTGTAACTGGCACTACATATGCCCGCATCCTGATGCACGTAGTCAGACATCCCCATAATCGCATTTATAAAGGTTTCAAAAGCCTTGGGAAGGAACAGGTTTATGTCCCCCTCAGCTGCTTCCAAGAACACCACTGCAATCCAGGGCAACTTGACACGTCTCTGCATACACCCACTGTGCGCAACGAGAGCAATTTGCTCTGTAGGCAGCTACATTTTCTCACTGGCCTAAATTCCTCTTCTTGCATAGCACTCACTTTCTGCTGTAGCTACAGCCCTTTGAGTGTCCAATCAATAGTAAGAACTCCAAGAAACAGCATCTTTCCAAAAGGAAGCAGATTATTGGATGACACCAGTGTCCTGTTGTTAGCTAGTTCCGACTCACTTTGTCGCTCACATCCCTAATGTTTTGGGTTTCTGGTATTTCAGTCATCCTCTCTTGAGGATCAGCGCTTCAAGTTTGCTCCCTTTCCTTTTGCTGGTTTGTGGCAACACCTCACACTTGCCCGTACGAAACATCATCAGCCAAGCACATACCAAGTTACAAAACCAGCCTTTGAATTGCTTTCCAATGTTTATCGGTTAATTCAACATGCTAATAATGTCAATATCCACCGAGTCACATATATATACCAGTCTCTGAGCTCCAGAATTATGAAGAAATGTTCCTCTGAAAATGTTTATTTAGCAAAAAAGTGGCCTGAAGCACTTACACATCCCCTGTGATATCACATCACACTTGGGCATGGGTCTAGTAGGTCTGCGTACTCCGCTCCTAAGGCCCACTAATGCCAGAGGAACGCTGGCAGCAGGCACCTCCCCTCGCTCCTGCATTCCACACACCCAAGGGCTCTCACTGAGGTACAACAGGGAGAGGAACACCAGTTGTACCACTCCGGGGTCATCAAGCCCCTCAGAGGCAGAGTGCAAAGTACCACTGCACGTATTCACAGGGATTGAGGTTGTCGCTTGGCAAATATCGAACCAATTTGCATTAATTTACTGAGATACGGTTTAGGCAATTCTATGACAGTATCAGAAAAACACTTGATATTGGATGTTTCAATCTTCATTTTATGTTTTGCAAACACTGTGTCATTCCTTGCAAAGCTTTTAAGTCTGCAAAGCAGAGTGTGTTTTGGTTCTTGGGAGGTGGAGGGACCATTTTGCTCCGCTCTCTATAAGCATGGCAGTTCTGGAAATCAGTCTCAGTGGGAATGTGCTTTACAAGATGCATAAATAGTATACTGTTAGAAATTATACACTGCTATTTCTAATTAGATAGTTTTCCTTAAAGAAATAGGTCCAAACTTCTGGGAATTCTGCACACAGAAAATGCAACAGATAAACTAAGAAAGATTCTTCAAGAGCCAGAAGACAAACAATATTTAGGTACCAGAGGTTTACAGACCTGACTACTACTTCACACTTATGTATTGTTAATATGATACATTATTTTTCTGCGCAACACTTCATTAGAATTATAGTCTTCAAAGTGCCACGGTTTTCCTATTGGGAAGAGTTGCACAACTTATTTTCTGTTAAAGGCCACAGGCAGAGATGCTGTTGAACAGCCAAGGTCACGATCCAAGTACAATCTCATCTTTTATTATGTTCTACTTATATGTTCTACTTACAATCCAGGAACATGACTGTTTCACCAACTGAGAGCAGTACGCACTCACAGGGAGATGTAAAATACTATTTTTAAATGAACAAGCTCCAATGAAAGTGTTACTGTTCTATAGATCCAGCATCAAAAGGCACGATGTGTCTCATGTGCAGCCTGCCCAGCTCTCTGCACACATCAAGGGCAGGAGGGCACCAGCTACAAGGTGGCTCTTGAAGACCCTTTTAAGATCTTTCTAGACAAGTTAACTTCAATGTCGTGTGGAGCCACACAAGCCCAGCACTCAGCGGTACAGCAGCAGAGGAAAAACAACAATTGCTACCAGAAGTCTACTCTAACGGAAACGAAAACTTGTGCTAGCCCATCAGTGCAGGGTTTGCTGAACAGCTCCACAGTGCGAAGAGCTGAAAAGAGCTGGAACACGGTGGTGCTGCTCCAGTCTAGTTTCCAGCCAGAGAAACATCTACTGGCAGTGCCAGGCAGTTCTTCCAAATACTACACGTTTGCCCAAGCTTCACATTTTCTAGGCTCTCAATTTCAGCTGCCAAAACCGACAACGCAATCTTTGCTTCCTCAAATGACATTCCTCATCAGATCAATTCAGCATCATCATTTCAGAAGGCTGGTTGCTATGGCAACGCTTTGTGTTCTTCTGTTAAATGATGTCAATTCACTGGGAGAAAGAAAAACCAGCTCTTTGGTGCCTTTAGTATTGTCCTTATCAAGAATCAGAACAGCGTTACTGAGCTCAGTAGGCTTTAAAATACTTGGGGAAATTGTGAGCTATACTAAAAGAATTTTCAACATCCTACACATCTTTTAAGTGTAGGATACTTAGAGTTTTTTTCTGAACATATTTCCCTAACCACAACTACATTTCCAGCTGGCTATATTTGCTTTCCATAACTGAGCTTCTGTTACTGGTTTGTCCCAATATGATCTTGAAGCTGAGTGGAAGACAGACAATCCAGATTTCTACGTGTAGCAAGAGGAAAACAGACTGCAGAGAGATACACTTTCAGAAACAGACAAGGGAAGAAACACCCATTAATAACCATTTTATTTGAAAAAATAATTCCAGCTTTTAATAATAATTGCTCATCTGGGATGGACAAGTTCAGAAACTAGTAAATACACTGCTGGAGGTACTGCAAGCTTATTTCAAAAGTGTTTCATATTAGAGTATCCAAATAAAACTAGATTTGTTTTAGTTTTTGGTAACTTACTCCACCCCTCCATCTCCTTCCTCTCCAATCCTTCATTTGAACTGTCAAATATAAAAAGCAATAAGCTCCTACACCTTCTGGCAGTGTCTTGCATTTTAGAAGCAAAAAGTCTGAAAAATCAAGCTTGCCTGGAAGTCTTTACCACACTTCACACAGACTTGTAAAATTAGTATATCACATGTTTGTTAGGCGAAAAAAATTGTTCCTGCTTATTCCAAGAGCATTCTGGTGTCTAGCTGTACTCTCACTGCCTGCTACAAACACTTCCACAGGCACTGTTTGTACACAGAAGCTACAAAGTGTTTGGAGGAAAGAACAAAAGTGTAGGTTAACACACCTCTGCCAGGGCTGCTCTCAAAAGCTCTTAATCACCACCCTCTTGTAGAGTAAGTCTATACTCACAGGCTTTTGTCAAAAACTGCAGTTGGCACACTGCTTCCAAAATAAATCTTCCTCTGCTACCTGTAACTCAAGTCTCCACCAGCACTCTCCCTTCACTCCCCTTCAGGTTTCTACTTCTCCACAGCACGAAATCTGCCTATCCTCTTTGGAAACTTTGAACATATTCCCTGCATACAACCTCTGCCTGTGTCACTCCCTTTATGCTGCTCTTACTCTAGCCTTGAAAGTAAATTGCTCTTTCCATAAAACCTTTAAAGATGTCCCTATTCAAAAGGGATCAGGCAAACCAGACTTCCAGCCATCCCACCTGTGTAGCACTTTATGCTAACACAGACCCATTGGACCTTTTGGCAAGGATTCGTGTTTAGTGCTTCTGAATCATTATGCAATGCCAGACTCTGTCTAGAAAATCCCAAAACATTCAGCAATCTTCTCACCCCAAACTACATCTGAAACCAGAAGTGTGTACTTCACATATTTGGATACTACCACATTTCATTATCCTACTGTTTACTCTCCAGCTCTTGTCTATCAAGGTATTTATACCACATTCTCTTTTCTTAAAATATCTGGAAGTTTCTTTATATCTGTGCTCTATGAAGGGGAAAATATTTTAAGAGACTTTTGACGAAAACTAATGAATATGCATTTATCAAATAGTAAAAACGTTCATTTTTACATAAATTATTTTTAAAGTAACATATTTTTCTCAGCACAAAGGTAAGTACGTGTGCAAGAGAGCAACCGGTTAAGACTGTGCTTTGAGCAGCAAAGCTGATCCTTTAAAGTTCTTGAAAAACTAGAACCTGAGAGATGGTCAAGATAAGCTGTGACAGAACAAAAAGAATAATATCAAGTATATTTAAATTTGTGGGGAGTATGGTTCTGTTAACCTCTGTGTTAATTACAAGTTTCCTGGTTTCTCTGTAAATAGCGAGTTCAGTAAAATGCAACAAACAGATCTGATAGGAACGCTGGAGGCTGAAACCATCACTCCTCCTAAACTGCAAAGTCAGTTAACACGCACGAGAGAAACTTCCGTAAGGCCACGTTCTAGGCGAGGAGTCACTTCAGCACGCTGACAGGATCACACGGCAACACTCTGGTTTAGCAGGACTGCAACTGCAGTTCTGACCCTGCATACGGGCCAACAAATTACGCTAAAAGTCTATCAATCAGTATGTCAAGGGTAGCAAAAAAAGTTTAAAATTCTTCCCTGAAAGCAATCTGTCAAACAACATGACTTCATAGCAGCTGCAGAAATGTGGTTTAGCAGATTCCAGAGAAACAGCAGGACCTTTGCATAGGAAGATCTCATGCAAATGCTTCTTAAATTTGTTCACTTTATGTCAGAACTAACTTTATGTCAGAACTTCAGTTCAAACTCAGTCACAAGATCACAGGGACACTTGGTTAAACCTGCAGAGCACTCCTGCTTAGCACATGCAGAGTATTCCAGGGCAGCAATATAAAGTATCTGCAAAATAACATTTCACTTGGACCTACGTGAGCATGTTCAGAACTCTGTTTACTGATGTATCCACGGCTGCAAATTCAGCCTAGGACAAACCCGGCTCCAGTTTGATTTCTAAGTACCATATTCAGTATTGCCAGAAGCTGTGAAACACAGGGAATGCTGGTGCCATTCCTAGCTAACCATTAGCGGGAATACTACATCCTATTGGCCCTCAGACACTGATTTCATAGAAAATCCAGTATCTAAGAGCTGAAAAAAGAGCTCTGAATATATTTCTACCGTTTGTCATCCTGTCCTCTGCAAGCAACAAGCCTGGTAGATTAACGGTGGGTTTTTTCCTGAGTATCAGTTTAGGGATGCCATGTGATTAAATGTGATCTGGAAGTTGCAGGAAGAATTTTGCAAAAAACGGTAACAATAATCTACACTGTGTAAGGTTTCCTGCATCAAACAGCCAGCGGTCACAGTTCAGCAATAAGATAACAAAGTCACCACGGGAGCTTGAGACCTCCAGTTCAGACTGAAATATTTAGCAGGCTGCATAGTGACCAGCTCCTGTCTGGGGAGGCGAGAGCTTTATGTCAGACACTGCTGTCGCGCACACGAGATTATGCTCAGTGTTCAGATTTCCAACTCTGGGAAAACATTTCTTGGTACAGAAGTTGGAGGAGATGGTGTGAAGACTCCTCTATCTGCAAGACTTGGAATTGTGACAGTAACAAACCTGAGTCTGAGTTACTTTTTCCACCTTAACTGTTTCACTCAAAGATCACAGTGCACATACCAATGAAGCCATCAACATCTGCCTAAATAGGAATCTAGCGAACAAGTTTATTCCTTAGGAGACCTTTTTTTATTTCTTTTTTTTTAAATATAAACAGGAAGATTGAAGGTTCAAATAAAGGCAACAAAAAAAAAATCTCCTTATTTTAGGCTCGGAATGTTGGCAGCTGCCACAAGGTCATAAGGGATAATATAATCCATTTTATTCAAGCTTTACATTCCAGAAGACCAGCAATCAAAACTAGAGTATTAAACTGAAGCATTAAGCAACAAGACTCCTCATATCCTTCTATTTTTTATTCTTGATTTAAAAGAAAAATTGTGCCAGAAGAGCTGCATTCTGCAGAAAGCATGAATATTTGCTACAGCAATTTTTTTTCTTTACTCACTCTGATCCCACCTAACATAACATACATGACATCAAGGGAGTCTGTATTCAAGTACACGTAACCAGTTTATTGAAAAGTGTCTTTGGTTCTTGAAAAACTTGCTATAAATTCAGCAGCCTACATACCCCAAAACACCCTGATTTTTGTTTATATGTAGTCAAATTAATTTTCAGAGCAGCTTTTGCCAACAGGAACAAAGCTGGACAATCCAAAGTCAAGGCACTGGAGATGAGCACTTACAGGTCTTAAAAACAGCGGGAAAAGTAACACCTACATAGACCTTTTTTCTAATCTACCCAGAAAAATCACACTTTTTTGCTTTTTCTCTAAGTACTGTAAAATAATTATGAAAATCTGTGTAAGAGTGGTAAACAAGTCAGCAAAGTCATACCTGATGCCTCCGGGTGTTAAGCATCTTAATCATCACCAGGCTTCATCCTCATTTGGGCCTGCATCTGCGCAATCATCTCCTGCATGCGGCGCAGCTGGAAGAGAACAACACCCACATGGTCAAAATAATTTGATGAGGAATCCAAAATCCAGGAAACTTACATCTTTTCCTTCCCTGGCAGAACACAGATCCAGTTTGCCTCTCTATAAATTGGAAATGTTAGATTGATTCACATGATTGAATACTAACTTCCTCAAAAGATTTGTAAGAATACTTTAAATGAAGATTAAGCAATCAAATCCAACTCTTTTGCAGCTTGCAGATCTGTGAATTAACATTTAATCTACAATGAAGAGAGCATACCCTTAGGTGTGGAGAGATACACTGCTGGAGTGAGCTGAAGAAGCTTTGTTCAATGCAAGTGCTCAAAGCACAACATTATGTACAAATACTCATCTTGTAGCTAACCAGATTCTGTTGCTAAAAATTTGTAGTTAACAGCTGAACAAAACACAGACGGAATTTAAAATCTACTTCAAAAGCAAAATTGAAAGATGTTTACCAAATTTGGAAAGACAGACTAAACACATTAAGCACCAATATTTTTAAATCTGAACAATGACCTTTCCTGGAAATAACCATTTTCATAAAGACATTTTCTTACGACATAAGTTAATTGCCATCTCATAAAAGGCCTGCTATATATAATGCTTTTTTTTCTTCCCCCAAAAATCCCAAAGCGATTAATCTAAAGTGTTCCTAAGAATGAATAAGAAACTCTAATAGAAATTTTCAAAATGTATATGCAAATTATTTGGTTAACAAATGACTAGGTATTTCCTTCCAGATGGAGGTGGGGAAGCTCCACATACACAACTGCAAGTGCCCTAATCCTACAAACTGGAAATGAACAGGCTGCAGTTTCCATACAGACTGCATAAAACGCACACTCATCTCAAGCTGGAGATCACGTAACAATCTGAAACTTGTATAGCAAATGTTCATTATAGTGTAGTTTTTAATACATGCACCTTTTGTCTCCTTTAGCAAAACACAGAGAATTCCTTTTATTTATTTTCTGGGGCAAAAACAATAGAAATCTTCAACTCAAAAAGCACTGTTATGTTTAAACAAGTATATTTATCTTCATCCAGCCGACCCCACTAGCTATTGTGATACCAGTTATGCTGTCAGATCCAATAGAAAGAGTCCTTAATAAACGCTCGACTACATGTATGTGGCATTGAGCTGTTTGGGGTTTTTTAATTTAAAAAAAAAACAAACAAAAAAAACCCAAAAAAAATCAAACCCAACAAACTGAAAGAAACATCACTGAACAGGGAAAAATTAGCTGTAGATGCCTGTATCACTTTTCCTTGCCCGGCCTCAGATACAGATCAGGAAGTAAGACACTGAAGTGAGGAGCTCGCAGCCTCGCCAGCAATAATGGAGCTTTGCCTAAAACCAGCTGGCTTATACACCACCAGCTCTCCTCCTGCTGCAGCACCACGGGACTCACCAGCGGCGAACGCAGGTTCCTGGGACTGCAGAGACACACCAACAAACGGAGATTCACACACAACAGTGTGAAGTACAGCTAAGTCTGTAATTATTATTATTATACATCCATCTACATCTTTCTCCCAAACACTTCAAAAGCTTCTGATCAGGAAGATGGCATAATGCTGACGGGAGGAGAAATAAAATGCAGAAAGTCTCAGAAATTAGTTGCATTGATTCCATGGTCCAAGAAAAGAGAAAAGTTTCAAAGAGCGACTTCTAACAATGTAAGACACCTGGTCTTTTGAACTGCTTCTATGCAGATTTATCACCAGAATAAAACCAGCTTTTTGGAAGCTCGCCTACTTGAGCTTTCCCAAGAGCACTCCAAGCTGAGCCACGAAACATTCCCAAAATAGAAACCATTCAGTAATCACAAGGGAAGATAGTGCTGCACATGTATTATGGTGACTGCTCAAACACAGCATTCTGCTAATAGCCAAAACCATCTTTTAAGGTTTAAATACAGCACTGAGTCATGCATATTCTTAACCTTAATTGATAAAAATGTGCCCACACCATTAAAGCAATCAGATGCTGCGTATGACTCAAATGCAAAGTAGGACAAAACACTAGGAGATCTACTCTGCTCTAACATTAAAATTTCAAGATGATTTTCCTTCTCCATTTTCAGTGGGTGTTTTTCAGAGGTTTTGAGTGTTAAGCTCACCCATTATCACAGAATCACAGAACAGTCTGGGTTGGAAGGGACCTTAAATATCATCTAGTTCCAACCCTCGTGCCATGGGCAGGCACAGCTCCCACCGGACCAGGTTGCTCAAAGCCGTGTCCAACCCGGCCTTGAGCACTTCCAGGGAGGGGCCTTCAACAACCTCTCCCAGCAACCTGTTCCAGTGCCTCACCTCCATAGCGAAGAATTTCTTCCTTGTATCTAATATAAATCTATCCTCTTTTAGTTTCAAGCCCTTACTCCTTGTCCTATCACTACACACCCTTGTTAACAGCCCCTCCCCACAGCTTTCTCGCAGACCCCCTTTAAGCACCGCAAGGCCACTCTAAGGCCTCCCTGGAGCCTCCTCTTTTCTCCAGGCTGAACAGCCCCAACTTTCTGCCTGTCCGCTAGGAGAGGTGCTCCAGCCCTCTGGTCATCTCCACGGCCTTCTCTGGACCCACTCCAACAGGTCCGTGTCCTTCTCGTGCTGGGGGCCCCGGAGCTGGATGCGGCACTGCAGGTCACATCGAGCTTCTTGTCAACCAGTGACCCTGAGCCCTTCTCTGCAGGGCTGCTCCCGACCCACTGGTCACTCGGCCTGTATCTGTGCTTGGGATGGCCCCGACCTATGCACAGGACCTTGCACTCGGCCGTGTTGAACTTCACGAGATTCACAAGGGTCCGCCTCTCAAGGGCATTAGCTAAATAATGGCAAATTTCTGAAGCTATTTTAGCATAATACAGTAGAAAAACTTTCAGGCACAAAACCTGTTAAAAAAATCTAGGCATACTGTCATCTTCTATAGCCATTAGCAGGTAACTCATCGTTGCAGTTTCCTTTTCATGATACAAGTTGGCCAAAAAATAAAGAAATTTAAAAGGTAGTCAAGCACACCTCTCTTTTTCACTGCATCCTGGGCTGCATCAGCATTTTGACTGAGCATTTAATATGCCAATAATCCAAAAAGGTTGCTTCCTGCTGTAAAGCTGCAGCTTCTCAAGAGCTCTAAGCAAATTCAACATTAACAGTTTTACAGCAGACAACCTATGAGTGACAACAGATACCACACCCTAAAACCTGGCTGCATAACTCCAGGGCTCAAGTTAGAGGTAATAACTGAATGCACACAAATATCTTGGAGAGAAAATCATTTGCACAGTAAGAACCCCGTGAGCTCAAGTGTAAAGCTGAAATTAAGAACAGAATCAAGCTGTATCGCGTGCTACGTGGTAACCATGTCACTCTTCCACAACGGAGGACAGGCAGCAAGAGCCATTCCCACACATTGCAATACAAGATAAAACCAGCTCACGTGTCTTCATCTTCCTAGACCTACTGCATAAACAGAAACAATCTTTTAACAAAGGTGAATGTAACAGATCACACAAAAGACTGAAATTGATGTCATAACAACATCTGTGTTCCCTTTGCTGTTGGCGATTGTGAGCACCAAGGGCACCCCATGACTTTGATCTGGCTCAGCAGTAAACCCTCTCCTTTGTAAGAGCAGCATTAATACATTCTGCAAGGAACCTGCACCCATCCCCTAAAGAAAGGACACTACAACACGACAGCAGAGGGGCAATGCACAGGATGAAAAGGAAGCTAGGAAACAATGTTTGGAAATCTGTTAAAGCAAACAATTCCTGTGAATTCACAGATAACAAACATCACAAGTGTATGCTTAACCTTGGTATAAATTACACACAGTTTACTTATATCAGGACTAAAATTTACTTCAAACTATCAGTAACTATTGGGTACTGACTATAAGTAACTACTGCAGCAACACAGAAAGGAAACAAACACATAAAATGAGAGTTAAGGTTACGGAGTTAAGTGAACTACACAGCTTCCGTGCCATTAACAGAAATCACAATGCAGACAGCTTTGTTTCACCTACAAGATTTCATGTTTTGCACAGACCCAAGAAGTACTACTCCTGCCTGAACAACGAGTGGTTTTTTAGTGACCACTCTATAGATATCACAGGAAAAGAAGTGTTAAAAATCAAACAATATCTGCTTGCCACCGACTCCTCCTCCCCACATCAAGTATGATTATTTCTGCCCATGCCTTTATGTAAGAAAGTTCATAAGGGAAGAGGCTGCAAGAATAAGGCATAATGGAAAACTGCAGACAGTGAATTTTCTAGTACACCAGAATGTTCCCAGGACAGTTGCTGTTGGTTAAAAATACCTCCAATACCAACGAGTACAAGTAATCTTGTTAACTGTAGAAAAATACTCCTAACAAAGTTACTATATTGGAAAAGGGGCTACTGTTGAGATAAATGTCTTCCACAGGACACGCTGACGTTATAAATAGCAGCATTATGGCCACAGCCATCGCGCTACATAGGCGGCAAGCGCCAATCCTTCAAAGAACAAAAGGACAGAAAAGGACAATTATTGAAAAAACAAACAAACAAAAGGTTGTCCGTCATTCCAGGTCCCAAGGGTTTTCTCCTCATGGTGTTCTCCTCATGGTGTTCTCCTCATGGATTTCTCCCAGGACTAAGGCTACATCATGTCACCGAGGAAGGCTGCAGCGATCTGCACAAAGCACAGCACGCCTCCTTCCCCCTGCACGACGCAACAGCATTGCACAACAGAAATTAAACCTTTGGCCGGTTTTTCTCACCCTCAGGTCTGCAGGCCATCAGCAGCAGCCATGCTGTATCTCCACATAAAGGCTTTCACCTTAACTTTTGAGATTTTTACCTTAACTTTCACGCAAACACCTGCAATACCGGGCAGTTACCCACAGGGCTGCGGCAAGACCCTGGCCGGGCAGTCCCACTGCAGCACGCTGTCCCCCCCTGAGTCCTACTAAAACAGGGTTCTTCATCTCATCTGAGAAAGTGAACCACGGGCAGAGGCTGAATGAGAGAGAAAACAATTTCAGCACTGTGATGAATTCTTCCGTACTGAGTGGAGCTGGTCAGCAGTAAGCTGAAGACAGAGGAGCAAAGGGATTTGCCCAAAGCCTCAGGGTAGCTCACTGGAAAAATCAGAGGAAGTTTGTTCCTTGCCATTTCACGTAATCATGGCTTAACATTTTTCTGGAAGTATTGCCTCTCAGAACTTCAGAAGTTTTGTATTATGAGATATTCAGAGTAGAAAGAGTATGGCACAACTAAGTTTGTGCCCACAATGTCAAAATAATCTGAATTGCTGCATATTTACATATACCTTTATTCTTATTTTCACTTTCCAGCTCAGAAAAACAGGTTATCACCTGTAAATGAGCAAAAAGCACCAGACTGAGCAATAAATCCAAAATGACAGATTAGCAATTCCAAATTGCTGAACTAGGGACCACATCCTTTAGCATACGAGAAGATCATGTAGGAAAAGTGATGCCTTGATAAAGATGATCCTGGCACTAGCTCAAGCATTCATTCCTTCCAAGGTTATATAAACCTCACAAAACCGTAAATAGAACTTCAAGCACCATTACTGATGGGAATGCAAAACAGGAGGGGAAATGGATATTTGTTTTCTCTGCAAAGGCCATGGAATGCAAGCCCATTTCCTCTGTGCCTCTTTCCTCCCCAGACTTTTCCCAGTCTGAACCTGAGGGATGATACGGAGATGAAGGGATTTCATACCAGCTTATCTACAGAAGATTCAGCAAAGCCTCTTGATCTCTTTGGGACAATAGAACGTAGAAGGTAAAAATCTGTTTGTTTTTTCAAGTTCTAACCTAATCCTTTGCAACTTCAGCAGCAGTTATTCAGAGATGATTACTCTCAGAGGAAACTTTCAGACTGTCCTCCAAGAAATTCAAAACACCTCTTCCCTTTAGCCATATTACATAAAAAATTTACATTACGCACATATATACGTGTATAGAAATACTATATATACGTGTATATAAATACTATATATACACATTCACGCACAAGAGGTCAGAATAGACCAGCATACGGTAATGTGCCTACCATATCAACAGCTGCTAGGGGAAATGCTTCTAGGAGAATTCTTTCAGACAAAAGCCTGAAGATAAATAGCTCTATAAGGATACACAATTTCTACTTAACTACTAGATGTGTACGATTCATATTGTTCAAGTAGGAGCAGAAACAGTTATGACCTAAATCCTTTAAGTCTTCTGACTGAATCTTGGAAGCATTAAGAAAAGAAAACAAAAAAAAAATGATGCTCTTTATATTCTCAAAGCATCTAGTAGTGCAGGCTATCAGGGGATTGTTTGCTGTTTCACACACAGGAGTAGGAGGGAGGCAGTTAATTTGTGTACACAATACTTGCAGAAGTTCCACTTATATGTGCGTGGCCATCAAACACACTTAAGTTGCCGAAATGAAATTATGCAGCGATAAAGATGCAGCTCATTTAAACTCCAGTAATTCAGATTAGTAACTACTAGTTATGGTGATAATCAGCTGCTTCTGCATTTCCTTTTAGGAAAATTTTGTGCCATTTATGTCAACATGCCAGGGTTTGCCAATAGCTTCACTATTTTTAAATAAAGATGCTATAAAAGAAAAAGGAAATGCACAGACTCAAGGAACTATATTGCAAGAATTGCCATGTATGGGAGTCTGAATCTTTCACCTCAGGAACATATAAAACTGCTCACAACTTTTTACTTGTTACTCCAAATCACTACCTATATGCACTCATCTTTTAATTCATGCCTTCCTCCCTTTATAGACTTGGATCCAAGCTGAACCGGATGAAAGAAGGATGAAGAGAAAAAATACCACCTCCCAACTGGCAACAAGACTTAAGTTTTCACAATGCAAGCAGGCACAAGCATTGGCAGCGTGCTACTTGAATTTAAATACTAGCCTGGAAATCTCTTGAATTCTTAGAACTTTAGCATAAACATGTTAAGTTGAAAGGCCTAGTAATAACTTGAAACTTGAGTAACAAATCAGAGGTTGGAATCAACAAATCCAGAAGTTGACTGGGAGAACAGAAATACTCTGAGTTTTGCTGCAAGACAAGATTAAGATGCAAAAATATGCACATTAATTGTATCACAGGATTTTAAAGACTCAACTTTTTTCTACTTCAGAGTCACAAGGCAGAACAAGAAAATTACTCACAATGTGCACATTTGAAATTACACTGGACTGTTGGTCCACCCCAACACACCATGTTTAAAGCAGCATATATAACTGACCAACATAAATTGATTTCAATACTTAAAAAACAGCAACTGTCCTGATGGAAAATGAGCAAACTGGAAGCGATGAATACCTGCCTACAACCAAGAGCCCACCCGCCACCTACCATCCTCAGTACGCAAGCGACTGTAACCAAAACACTGTGTATGGGCAATGTGTACACTCAGAGTAGGTCTGTCATTGCTCACAACTCCAATCTTAACGCTCCGTAGGCAGCAGCTGATGTAGAATACTGGAGCTGGAACATATTAAAGAACAGTTTTAGAAACTCCCTCTTACCTCAGCCTCTTTCTGCTGGAGGATTCTATCCTTGTCTACCACTTCTTCTTCAACAGGTCTATTGAACACAAGAACACATTGAAAGTATAAAGTAGAGAAGTAAAAATGAGCCTTGAATCTGTTCTTGGATATATTTCAGCTAATACAACAACAAAAGTCTACATGGGTGCACACAGGGGAAATTACGACATGGTTAAACTCATGCTTTCCTTTTGTAAATGGCCATCTTTACCTCAGACTCCTGTTATTCACAATATATTTCTTTAAATTTAATTTCTTCACTGCTATGGGCATTTTTTGCCGTTTACAAGAGATTCTCTCCATTATCTAAATATGGTACAAAAATTAAACATTAAAAAGTTATGTACACCATTTCCTTTCCTCTTTAAGATCAAAATGCTTGGCTGAATACTTAAGAGAACAAGTAAATTGGGGACAAGAATAAGTTGATATCAGGAAAAGATGCAGTACAGGCAGATTCAGATTTTCTCCAATCAGTTGACAAGCACAGAAACCTCAGCAAGAAAAAAAAATAAATAGAAAAATAAATGAAAAAAAAAATGCACACACGTTTCCAGAAATAAAACCTTATTAGGTTTAAACTTCTTTCTCTAGCTCCGTATGAAAGAGCAAGGGAACAGCCACCATAGCAGTCCTGCAACAACTAGAGAAACAATCTCATCTCGTCAGATAGGTTTTTATTTAATGGTGCTTGCTTGAAAAATAGAAACTCTAGTCAGCACTTTTAGACAGGCCTCAGCCTATCTTGCTTGCAGCCCGCTATTCCTTTACACACATTCCAGTTAAAAGCACAGAGAAAAGGGAAGATACAAAAGCAAGAGCAGCTGTTTGTAAGCACAGCACTTTGCCAGATATCACTCCTTTCCAAGAGTGTTTCATACAAAGTGCAGCAACTCCAAAAGTTGAAATCTTATCAGAAATAATTAATTAGGAAAAAGAGCAAGTCCGATGTCCTGGTGGAAGGAGAGACTTGCAGGCAGCAGAGCCCCACAGCACACACATACTTACTTGCCAGTTCGTTTTAGCCTCTCAGAACGGAAGTTCTCGTAGTGCAAGTCTTGGGTCACCTCCTGCAGGTCCTGCATGTGCGTCCTGGAACATGCAAAGGGCTATTGAACACTTTGTCTTTCTTGTCAAAGGGAAGAAAAACACCCTTTTATCTTTTATTTTTGTTTAATACAATGGATTGATTTACTGGAAGAATAATCCTGAGAGACGAAGCCTGCCATAAGGCTGGCCAGAACAATGCTTCCATTTTTATTAGTCTTCAATTCATACTCAAGGGCTCTCCCACCACTGTTCTTCAAAGACTCATAGCGTGATGTCCTCCTCTTGTTCACTTGTTACTTTACAGGAGCTGATACCAGTTTTCACAGTGTTAAGAATCTTGCAAAGGCGGTTGTTTAGAAAAATAATTCCTAACGCATGTTTTGACTCAAGTGTTCTAAAGTGCAGTTTATAACAGAGACTTAGGTGGAGCTCCTTGGCTTACTTAACAGCGGACACTGGCAGCTGGCAATCCCCACCCAAAAAAAGGGAACTGCTTGCTACTGATGAACAGCAGAGGGCAATCCCTGCCCAGCAGAGACTGACCAGAAACAAAACAATTCAAGTTCCAACAACAGAAAGATCTCATTAAAAGAAAAAAAACAAAAACGCACACATCACTCAGCACCATCTACCCAGGCAGAATATCCATATCACCTAAAATCATAAAGGGGCAAGGCATCACATTGAACACAAGATCTCCTATACAGCCATGAAAACTGAGCTTTGCCATTAGAATACTGCTCACAGTTCAATCACTTGGAAAGCCTCTGTCCCACCCACTGCACTATGAGAAAACTTCAATTCATATGAAAAGCCAACAAAGCAATTCACGTAAAGCACAAAAACTGCCACACATACCTGGTAACGTAAAACAGAAAATATTTTCTCAAGTCAGAGATCAGAGGATTACAGCAGCAAAATAAGCTGCAGAGGGCTAAGAAGTCACTCCACACTGCCATCAGAGCTAATTTTGAATTTAAAAGTTCATGTTCTTATGATTCTCTTGTCACTGTTACGTCACCTCAGGAGATGGAATAACTTGACCATTACTCACACCAGCATTGTGCGCAGTTTAAGGAAATCGTTGTGCTCTGGATTTTCAACTTCAACAACTCCCCAGGGATACAGACGGCCTCTGATTTTTTTCCCTTTTACCTCAATAAGTTGATTGGATCCAATAACAGCAAAGGGAATGCTAGCCTAGTTGAGACAGAGCAAAACAAGTCATTAGTTTGATTTTTGACTCCTTACTTCATTTGTGAGGTTTTGTTTCTTTTAAAGAAAGCAAAAAGACTTTTAAGTATCAGACAGGAGAGGTGGACACGAAACGCTGACAAATGCACTCTACTAAAACCCTTCCACATCGGAAAGCCAACAAATCCTATTCCAGGCAATGCAACTTCTCATTAGTAACACCTGCGGGTTTGTTGGGATCAGTTTGTTTCACCAGAGGCAACAAAAGGAAATGACGTTTTGCTTTAGGAACACTTGACTGTTGCTGAAGTAGTTTGGGCATAATGTGTCATCCGACATAACATCATGCGTGGAAAACGGCCAACAGAAACATGCTTCAGTTACAGACTAAAGTAGCCAGGGAGAGGATTTCAGATACATTCTTCAAGCACCTTTACAAGTACCAGAGCACAGAGGAAATTACTTCACTAAAACCTTATCTGCTCTCACAAGAGAAAGTTGTTAATCAGTATAGTAACCCTAACGCACAGTCTCTCTTCAGTTGCATGTTAACAGGTTTGAGTTAGAAAACAAACTGCAAATCACAGTTCGTAGTGAAGAGTTACTTACATTTAAAAGAGAAAAGAAAGTCACAGCGCTCTACCTTTGGAATTCTGATGAAGCAGAGATGGATTTATAATCCTTTCTATCCCAGTGTCACCATCCAAAGAAAACTTGAATTTTCAACACATCATAAAGGAATATAGTAACTTCAAGCACACTGCATGCTTGAAGTACTGCAGCAAAATAATAAATTACGTGTGAAACTTGCCTTTAAAACTCGGGTTTGTTCTTTAAACTCCTCGTCTTCATCAGAATCAGCATCAGGGAGCTGATAAATCCTAATGCCATGTTCAGAAATCTCATCCAGAACCTGAAGTTTATAAAAAATGAAAAATAAGTTCTTATTTCACTGAAAAGGAATTAATATATATATATACACAATTGATTTACAAGTCTGTCACACCTAGAAAACTCAGAATGTTTTTCTGCTTTAAATAGTTTGACAACACTTGGAAAAAATCATGAGCAGAAACTGCCATTACTTATTCTTCAAGTTTATATACTACACAATTAGTCTGTGTCATACAACACTATCTTATACGGCATTAATTTCATTTTATCTACAAAGAAAAAAAGCAAGCACTTCTCATTTTTCTCTTCGTTCAACAGAGGCTTGAACCTCAAGTCTATAAACACCCTGCAAAGAACAGTATAAGGTATAAAAGCACACAAACTAAATGCATTTTGTGACATTCTGACGTACGTTTCTTCACATATCGCCTTATCTAGCTCATTTTTGTGCAGCGATATAGAAATAAGGATTGAAAATAGACGTTTCCAGATGCAATAAAGGCCTGCAGACAACAAGGTGTAGCTGTACTTGGGGAATAAACATTAGAATTAGAACGCTACTGTTATGAGTGTTAGCTGCACAGCTAATAACATATTTGTAATACAATGTACTCTTCTGCTTTTGGAAGACTAAAAAATACACTCATCTGACTCAGTGTCCAAAATACCAAGTAAGACAAGCTAAAAGACTTCTTTAAAGGCATAAAATAAACGTATTTTTAGAAAACATAGCAAGTAATTTAAGAAAAAAAAACCGGAAGATTTACATGGAACATAATACGGAAGCAGACAAAACTGTTAAATGAAGTTAATATGAAAAGAAATAAGTAAAAGCAATGAATTAGAAGATTCATTAGTTACAGCATCAAAACTATGCAGCCCATGTCAAAATATATTTTTGTGTATTTGATAAGTACAAAATTTAAAAGACAGTGCCTATTGTGCCTTGGATCAACAAGACAAAAAGCTTATTATACACTTGAACTGGAGAAAGTTATTCAAAATCCACTAAGAGGAAAACCCACCCATGAACAGTTTTCTTTATGGTCACTAATGTCTGAGATTAACACCAAAACCTGACTAGCTGCACTCCTGTAGTGTTGCTGTATACATTCTTTTCCTAATGAAATCCCAGCAGGGGCAAGCAGCTGGTGTAACTGCAGGCCTTGGGGAGTTTCGAAAGGCAGTACCAGCCAACCTTTTCTTCAAAACCGAAGAGAATGCTTCTACTGCCAGACTATTAAACATGTTTACGTCAGAAATCCCATCAAATGCACTGACAAGATCTTCTTTCATTACAGAAAGTGTAGTGGTACGAGGGAAGCACGAAGAACACCGAGACTCCACAGTAACTCTCTTCAAAGGGGTCTCGGATGTCTCAGCAGAGAAGGTTCACCAGGCAAACTCCCCAGGGTAGTGCTCCCCAACGAGGCGCAATCTCACCCCACAGCTGGCACCTGAGCCATGCAGCAGCACTACCGCAGCCAGGAACTCCTCCAGCAGATAGAGTCTGGGCAAAATCAGGGCAGGGAGCGCTGAGGTAGTCACAAAAACATTCAAAAAAGCCTCTGCAAGGACTTGGGCTGTCCTTACTACAGAGATAACCTGACCTTAGCTCGACAATACAAACGCAGCCAGACCTCAAACAGACAAGAGGCCTTAACGAGCCTCCTCTCAGTATTGTCGGGTTCCTCAAACCTCTGTCAGGATGGCAACGAACTGCTGGGGTAAGCACAGCTTAGCCAACCAGAGCCTGGCTGTTAACCAGCTGTTTAAAATAAACCAGTCCTTCAGCCCTTTAGAAGAGGAATGCCCATCTATGAACCACCGCGATTCCCATGGCAGTGTTTTCCTGCCAGGTATATAAACATCCCCTGCACTCACACTGAATAAAATACTACCAGTCCCACCTACACAGAGAGCAATACTATTAAAGGGGAAAAAAAAAAGAGATTTGGAAGTAAGCATTGCCAATAAGCAATTAACAGTTACATTCACACAAGTACATTTAAATCAATGCACGCTGCTACTGCTTTGCCAAAGGGAAGATATAACCAAACTGTCAGCAAATGATAAAAGGTGCACAGCTGGGATAGGTGGGGCACTGTGATGCCTTTAAGTAGCTGCATAAAGCATGAAAGCACATTTAACCTGGATGAGATCTTAAAGATAAAATGCGAGTTAAACAATAACGGGAAAGCCAACAACAAGGGGTGCTAGAATAATATATTACAGCTGTTAAACCTAGTGCTTTCCTGAAAGGAAAAAAGAATTGCAATAAAAACAAACTGTATTTTATGGTCCAAACAATGAAACAGCATTTTGCTTCTTCAAATCTGAATTTTATTGGCCTCAGAGGATTCTGTGTTCCTAAAGATTAGCCTTCCCATGGGAAATCAAAAAAAGTCAAAATATTAGTTCCCCTTTTAATGAAGTCATTCTTTTGAACAGGTTTCCTTAACAGCCTTGCATGGCACAGCTTGTGAAACTGCCCTCCATTCCTTCCCACTCAAGAGTTTTAAAAAATAACTTTGAATTCCAAAAAGACCAAACAGGAATTACTCCAAGCTGGGCTTCCTTTGCAAGCACCACAAACTGATCTTGCTGCTTAGTCCAAAGCGGCAAAACAAAAACATTTTACTTTAGATTGATGGCCAAATGGCAGAAACATCTGAAAAAAAAATAAGGCTTCAAGCTGCGTCAGCAAAGCAGGATTTTGATTCCTACCCTTGATTAGAGATTCTGTTAGCCAAGACCCTTTGAGTTAGAACAATATACAGTAGCTAGACGTTCAAAGCTTTGGAACCACATTATACACTTGACTTAGTATAAACTCAGGTTGTAGAATGACCTTTGCCAGCACCACAAAAATCATGACGACTTGTATACCTGTTTCCTAACCACTCCCTCAAGAGCAGCGCATAAGCGCCATTCATTTTGCTATATTTAGCCATGCATAAACGTTTGTATACGTTAAGTCAAGACTGTTTTAAAGACTAGTTAAAAGTAACTTTGCTCAAACTAGGAGGAACTAAACATAGATTAGCACTGAATACGATCAAAAGGGGTTGCCTTTAAATTAATCTGTTTAATCACAAGATACATAAACTGGAATTCATCTCTATCTTCCACAATAAATGTGCATCATAAACCCTCAGTCTAACATTACCTACAGAATTGTACGGAAAGATAAGCAATTCCAAATTCACATTGGAAAACATGTTTGCTTGCACTACTGCATCATTCACTCCTCTTCAGCTTGAATTTACTTTATATTTGGCTTTAACATTGTGTGGGTTGCATTGTTCTCATGATGTTATTAGACCTACTCTTCTCTTCAGCCTTTCTCTCTCCTTGAGCGTCAGTGTGTCAGCCTTGGCAATCACAGGAACAATGTTGACTTTTCCATGGAGGGCCTTCATGAATTCGACATCTAATGGTTTCAGCCTGCCAACAAGTAGAGAAGAAAGAAAAAACAGAAGGGGAGGGAGGTTAACAGAACAAATTATTTATTTAAAGTATCTACATAAATAGCATTTCCAGAATAAATTAATTCGGAGCACTTGCTTATCAGCTTGGTTGTGCAAAGGCTGAATTGCAATTAAAACTCTCACTGTAAAATAAATTGGATATTATAAGGTCTTATGTGTCTGGATTATAAACAACATAATATTAACTGCTTCAAAACAATATTAAATGCCAAAAAGGAGACAAAGCAGAGGAGAGTATTAATCCCCAAAGACCAGTTTAATTGCATTGGCTAACTGACAGTGTGGGAAGTAACTCAATTAACATGAAAGTTAAGTTTCCAGTTCAAATAATGAACACACTTACGAACAAAATATAACACCCTAAAATATAAGAGCTCAAGAGCTCTTCTTACCCATGCCCAAAGGGAGAGATGAAGTAAAAACAGCAATGGACTCTGTTGTCAATAATGTGGCGCCTGTTCAGACCACTCTCATCATGAAGGTACCTTTCAAACTGGTTGTCAATGTACTGGATAATTGTTTTGAAGCTGTGGTTTAGGGTGGGGGGAAGAAAGAGAGACATCTTAGATCAGCTTTAACATAATTTTAAAAAGATCTTGAAAAGATAAGAAGAGCAGAAGAATCACACTTTCACTGAGAACATTTCTGTTACAAAAATTCAGCATCTAGCATTGTACCTACTACTGAGAAAAAGTATTTTGATAACACAACAATAGTTTTCATAGCAACCACCAAGTGCCTATTCATGCCTCGAGCTACTTTCAAGTGTTACTCTGTCCACTGGATAAAAAGTTCAAGTGCAAGCCCAAGATAAAAAAAAAAAAAAAAAATGCACTCAGTGCTGAGACAACACAGATAGGAACAGAAGATTGAGGATTTTTCTGCTTTTTTTTCCCTGGGGCTAGGGGTGAGGATTTGTTTTTAAACCAGCTGACAAATGACATATCCCGGATATCCTCTTGATTTACAACCCTGACCCTAGAGCTAGGTCTCTATAGCTACCAATGAAAATTCTGGTATTCTAGCCTGTGTGAATTAAGTACAAATACACTTGCAAGTCATGCACTAAAGCATCACATGATTTATTAAGCTATTTTTGCTACCTTACAGAATCCCTTTCTGTTGGCAAAGAGCAGTAATGCCTACTTACTTCAAGGAAATTTAAAATATGCCCTATGAAGAAGTGAAGGAACACAAAATTTGATAACAGATTCATCAGCTGCAAAGAGCAGTGACTAGAGAAAGAAAACACAATGCATTACTAAGGAGATTGGTTTAAGATATTCCAGAGCATGTAGACACCTGCAAACAACATTAATATAAAAGGACACTTTATATTAAGTACTGCAGGGGAAGGGAAATGAACCCACTGATGAAGATAAGATTAGGCAGATGATTGTGTGTCATGGACATATCTTAAACTACTTGGGGAAAAACTTGGTAGAAAGCTTAACTCAAAGAAGTGTTTCTGTTGTTGAGAAAGTGCAAATTTGACTAGAGAAATTTAAGGATAACCCAAAATATAGCCCAAAAAGACTTAGCAATCTGGAAACTGAACACACAGAATGATGGCAAATACTGTGAGAGGCAGCAAAGTTCAACCCCGGGGCTGCATGTCTGTAATGAAGGTAATGAAATACAGCAACGAGAATGACAGAAGAGATCCTGGAGGGAATTTCATTTTTCCAAGTTGAGTAGGCTTTTGGATCTAGGAAGAATAAATGCATAGTAGGATACACCTACACAATTTTATATCTGTGCAAGACTGGCACTGTTCTGTTACAGAAATCAGTGCAGCAAAACATGGAATCTATTGGCTTTTAACCTTAGTGCTGTTCAGGTCTTTAAGAACCAGCATCTTAATACCTCAATGTGTTCCAAAAGGACAACGTGGTTTATTTTCCTGTTGATCTGAATACTCTTCTCTTAGCTGGTGAAAGGTAATAAGACTGAAGGCACAGAAATACTAGGACAGAAACCAAGCACGAACAATGGGAAAGCAACTCTCACACACTTCCCTGGCAATGTAATTAGGTTACGTGCACTTTTCTAGCTCTAACAGCTAGAATTTTCCCTATAACTATGGCGTTAGTGTCCTGTACCTTCGGACTTCCGGGAAACACCTGGCTCACACTACTGTGCTACCATCACTCAGGAGATAGCACATCCTGTATTCTAACAGCTAACACAACGGTTGCACTTAAGCCCATTGGGGGAAAATGAACAGTTTTGAACTCCAAAACATAAGTCAGTAAAAAAAAAAAAAGTTAGCAGCAGTCACAAAAGAATTATCGAAGTATGACCCAGGACACTTGCAACCAAGAGGAAACAAGGCGCATGATCAGCAGTAGCAGTTAAGCTGTCAGCCATCCTTTTATGACACATTTGATGCCAAACGTGTGTGTGAAGCATTTTTTTCCCTCCTCTCCTTAGATACTTTCTCTTCTGTCTGATGAACGACATTATTTTAGGAACATACTTCTCTCATGATCCCAAAGTTCTTATACCCGGAAGAGCCATTCTGTGCTTCAAACCTCCCACCATAAAGAACGTTGCTATTCTCCAAACACACGCCTAAAGTGACGCAAAGAGCATTCCTACGCGTAGTTTGATTGTACAATACAGGACTCCAGCTAGCACTAAAGCTTCACACAGAATCTAAAACATTATCACCATGGTTCACTGTGGTCAGCATCCACCTTTTCTTACAGACTGTCTGAAGTACAACAGCATTTGGAAAACAAAAATAATCTACTTTTATAAGTTTAGTACAACACACTTTTTAACAACTCATCTCCCAGTCCAACACTGTTATTCTTTCAATCCGAGAGATCCACTGGACAAACTCCTGACAACACATAATCCTTATTAGCATTTCTTGTGCAATATAACATGCATAAAATTGACCCAGCTCCCATCCTTGAAAAATCAAACTTTAAAATTAAGCCCTTTCACCAATGCAAAGACAAAAGCCAAAGGCCACTAGGAAACCTACTCAAGATATTTGCAACAGGATCAGTGATTGCTGCCTTCTAGAGACATCGTGCCAGTTTGATTTACCGCTGCTCAAAAATCATCTTGGCAAAATTCATCAATCTGAAAAATACGCAGGCTGCACAAATTGCAGCTTTATAAAACTTTGACCGAGATCAGCACAATCTACCGATTAACTACAGCTGCAGTAAATGCTCCACAACACAACCGTAAGTTCAAGAACACGAACTTGCTGCTTCCTCTGAATTAACAAGGAAGGAAGGTAGTTGCACGGGGTTAGCCTCGACTACAGTTTGAAACAAAGAGTCTGTCCATCCGAGTTCCTGTGACATCCTGTAAAGACTAACAGACTTCGCCAAAATCACACTCGTCATGGCTCAAATGAAGTCTTACATGAGATAAGAAAATGGGACTGGAAAGAGGCGATTAAAATTAACTGCATCTTTTTATTTTGTAGTATGTAAGTACTATTTTCTCCCATAATATATTTTGATGATTAAGACTCGTCACAGAAAATAGTATAAGCCAGTAAGTCAGTCTACTGGGTCTGAGTTATCATGGAGTGAATCTGTTTAGTAAGCATCCAAAAAGAAAGGGGAAAAATCTGAACACGTAGGTCTCTAAGAAACATCTTAACAGAATAAACAAAGGGCATTAGAACACAATCAACAGGAAGAGCTCTCTGTAACACAATACACGGCCGCAGAGCTCCTAGCTCCAGCGGAAGGAAGCTCTAGTCAACAGCGCACAAAATACGCAGGACTGCTGCAGCCCAGAAAGATGCCTTAGCATTATCCTAAAACTTTAATTATTTTTAACTTAATAAAGTAGGAAAAGTGGAAGGAAAATAAAAGTCTTGCTACAGCTTCACTTTCAAACTTCCCTTTAGTGTATCACACAACTTCACTGCCTTCACTTTCGCTGTGTTTCTACAGTACAATATAGGAAGATACGAAAAACCACGTTTGATAACAATGGTCTTCAGAATGTTCCAGATAGCGCGGCGTTCTGTCAAGAACAGATTACAATACATTCTATTAGCATTAGAGTTATTTATTTTATCAGCTATTTGCCTCCTTTCTGATTTTTAACTCATACTGAAGAATTAAAATAACCCAGTATTAGCTCTATTATTTATTATTAGCTGTATTCACACACATACCAGTCCTGGCTGTTAATGGCATCTCCATATCCCGGTGTGTCAACTACTGTTAAGCGCAGTTTCACCCCTCGCTCTTCTATCTCTACCGTAGAAGCTTCAATTTGAACCGTTCTCTCTATTTTCTCTAAAATAAGGGAACATTTTGATTATTATTTTGCCCATCTATTGCTGCAGAAATCTCTGCAGGAAAGAGCAACAGAGGAGGAAATGCAATCTGACTGTACTGTAATCTACATGACACAAAATATTTTAAATAAAAAAAACCAAGATAGCTAGTCAAAATTTAACAGCAGTTTTTGTATATAAACAAGCAATGAAGGAGATTTACTCATGACAAGATGCAAAAATAAAATGAGAATGATCAGAAGCATGCTAGATTCTTTGTCAAAAGGTATTTACACTGCTAACCTGGATTTAAGGCATATACGCAGAAAAATACATTAGAGGAAATGGAGATTAGAATAAAACCACATTTAGGTATACTGACACCTAAAAGGTTTGGGAGGGTTGGTTTTTTTAACAACAACTGATGAAGAAGCAAGAGTCTTCAAAAGGAAATGCAAATGAGAAAGCGACAATTCAAAAAATAACATTTGGAGAATTAAAATACATCTAGACAGCATGAAGAAATAGCCTCATGAGTAAGTTATAATCAGAATGAAGCAAGGTTACCTGAAAGAACATGAAATATCATAGGGTATGTGCTGTAGAAACTGCAAAACCACGTTTACCTGCAGCTCCAGGAATATAACGCTCTGGATAAAGATCAGTCAGGAACAGACTGTTAATTAAAGTGGATTTTCCCAAGCCAGACTCACCTACAGGAAAAAAAAAAAAAAAGAAGGTTATTAAGCACATACACTTTTTACTCAAGGCTTTTTAAGGCACCTCCTTTTTCCCTGAGCCCACATAATGGAGGAAAAATAATTTGTTCATCAGGATCCACCCTAGCTTTTGAGATAAAAACATCAAAGGTTCAGCTAGGCCTTTCAAAAACAAAGGAAAACCAGTGTTTTATATAAATGTTACATGAAAACACTAAGTTTACTGTAATAGATTTCATAATAAAAGCTGAAAGGTCACACAGCACTTTGACTATAGATCTAGACATAGTTAAGTTACTTCAGGAAAACAAAAGATTTTTTTTGTTTTCATTTAAACTTACAAAATCAGGAGTTGTAACTCTCCTGTTGAATGTTTCTGAGAGCTTTAAGGTTTCGTAAGCTAGAAATTGAACCTGGAACACTGTCAGGAGGGAGAACAAATAAAGAATCCTAAAATAACGGTCAAGCTTTGCACCCTTATAGTTAGGATATATATGTCCTATGAAACAAGAAGAAGAAAATCATAAGAAAATTGTACAAAAGTCACCTGAGAAGTTCCATAACTCTAGAAGACTGGGTCATACAAACTTTGTCCTACATCAAAGTAATAAAGTTACACCTGTAAATGCAATTACTAAATTGGAATTTCAAAAAGTCACTTTTCCCAACCCGTGGAATTCCAGGACTCGGTGTTTAGAACTGGCCACATTATTCTAGATACTACTAATATAATCTTAGAGATGGAAAAGTTACCCGTATTTATCATCACAAGCTTAATGAAATTAAAAAAAAAAAAACCCACTACACTTATCACAAATCATTTATTTTACAGACACTGCTGAATGTTCCGTCCCCACGTAATCCCAAATGGTACTGCAGAGCACAAAGAACAAGAAGGAAGAGTTATGCATCTCTTCTCATTTTTTTCTACAATAACATGTAATTCCAGGGTAACTACTACAAAGAGGTGATACTACTGTGGACACCCTTTGCACCTGCATAAACTGACTCAGTGCAAGAATAATTCAACACGTCACTTAAAACAGCTTTGTGCCTAAAGGACCTTCCATCACAGACTCCCACAGGTGCTCATTCCCAGAACGGGCAAATTAAAATTTAGCTATAATACCAGAGTGAGTCACTCTAGAACCACGGAAAACACAAGAGCGGCATCACCATTTAACAGCAAGATATTCACCATGTGCATTTGTGTCTTCAGTTGGGGAAACGGGAATCAAAGCAAGATGAAGCAACTATCGCTACCATCTGGTGATGAGTCAGGAACACAAGAATGTCCTGTTGGCTTAAAGTCATCACCTTTAATCACTACAAATACTCTCTCCCACTAAACGTGACAAAATAGTAAGAGATGTAATTAGAGAATGTAGAGAGGTTCAAAATGTTTTCTTCTGTGTAAGTGAGTTGCTCAGTAGGGAGACACATGTCTTAAGTCACTTACCAACCACCATCAGCGTGAATTCAAAACCCTTCTTAACAGATTTCCTGTGAACCTGGTTGGGCAGATTAGCAAATCCCACGTAGCCTGCTGAGTCGGAAAACTGGCAAGAAAACAGAAGTTGAGTATAAATGAGACCCCCTTCCCTTGAAAAAGTTGAAACACAGTTCAGTTGATTCTGTACAATAAAGCGCGGAGGTATATAAAGCACATGGGAAAACAGAATGAAATGTTTTTCTGCTGCTAGAGCAAGACAGACCTTGAAACAGGCCCATTTACGAGCAGTCTGATATAAATAGAAATCTGATAAGTACCTTGAGCTACACATAAACAAAAGTCTCTCCTTGGATTAAAAAAAAAACCAAACAAACTTTAAATCTGCAAGCTTGCAAGAACACACTATTATTCATCCTAAAATGTAAACATAGCTAAAAATCCCAAAGATTTTAAGATAGAGGTCAAAAGTATCTGATCAGATTTGGGATCTACTGCTACTATCTTCCAAAAAAAAAAAAAAAAAAAAGACAATACACTTAAATAAGAAAAAAAAAAGAGCATACACTTACATATAGAAAAACATAGAACACTGTATAGTAAAGCAGAGATTACCAAGATACAATCACACAGAGATCGGTCTTCTGCTTGTTACGCTGTTCACCTATCTCCACAATGGTTAACGTCTAACACAAAAGCAGGAAAAAGAAATGTGCCTGAAAAACTTATCAAAGAGCTCTGGGCTATAAAAGGGTCAGTCTGCTTCTCCAGCTGTTAACAGCTGACTGCAAACCCAACAGGCACCTGAACACCAACTGCAGCCACTGCATTTAGGGACCCACGAGCCAGCTGGAACCAAAGGCTTTCTGCACAGGTGAGTTTAGGGGGAGAACAGTTTGTACACAATACCACATCTCCAGTTGGCGGGGGTGGAATACAGGGGAAATCACTCAAGGCAATTAGTTATTTGTTAACAATCCTTTTAAAATCCACCCAGATAGGCAAAAACATTAGGAATAAAGGTCTGTCGAGCTAAAGCTCAATGCACCATTCCAAACGTGTAAGCACACACTGAAGGTCTGACAAGCATCTAAAAGCACGTTACCAGAACTGAATGCAAGCTCCGTTTCTTTTTAAAAAACACATCTGAAGCAATAAGGTATCATTTATTCACTAATTTACCACTTCAGTACGACCACAAGTATTTTCAGAGGTCAGCTAGATTTGAAACAAGATTTTGGCTACGCAGCCATCTCTTTACCTTTACTTTTTCACCTGACTGAGACATGTTTCGTCACTTCAAGTTTCAGACACTGGAAAAAAAAATCCACAGTGAATGTTAGCTGACTTGAAGATTTCATTCAATTTAATTTTGAAGTAATCAATTGCATGTAATAACAAAAACATTATATTCTAGTAGAACGAAATGTCACACACTCAAAAATTACTAGAACAAACAAACCATAAGCAAAATGGCTGCTTCTGTAAAGCTGTTAACAGGGAAGAAATTACACAGGATTATCAAAATCAGAATATCTCATTTAAATACGTAAAAGTTTTAAAACAGAAAGATTAACTGAAAACTCAAAATACTAATATTCAGCATCCTTAAAGAGCCTTCATCCATCCTGTCTTTGAAGAAGGAAAAATATCTACTGAAAGTTAGTCCTGAGTATACACGGTACACCTGATGTAATTTTTCTTTTAAGTTCTCCAATTCTGTAATAATCTCATAAAACCTAAAATTCATATTATCTGTTTCAAATCCTCTATACAGAATAGCGTAAGGAGGTCCTTTTTCCTTCCTTTTTTTACTCTTTCCACTAATAAACTATGTTTCTTAAAGATGGCTTACAAATCGTCAAATATAATCTAACTGTTGTCCAAATGATATTGAAAAACTATGACCATGTACAAAACTCTCCCTAGAACAGGACACCTACGGCATTTCCAGGCAACGGCTGAAACACTTCGGTCACTTCCAAGTACTGTTGCTGAACGTGAACACCACGCCGAACCCCGCCGAACCTTGGCACTTGGCTCACCCACACCGGGTGCGAAAATGCACCCTGGTCTGAAGCACTAACAAAAAGACTTGTTCTTTACTTTCAGACACTCGGAACAGCTGCCTTTGGCAAGGCCTTATCTTTCTTCTCGCGGATGTTAGCTGTGCTATAGATTAGCTATCGCGGCAATAGCGAGGCCCTTTGATTTGGAGCCCCCCCCAAGCACTGGCAGGAAAGGCAGCAGTGCCGGGAGCACTTCACAGCTTGGTTTGTTGACAACACAGCTCTTGGCCTGGGAAGGCGGGGAACTGACCTCTGCAGGCACCTGGGTGTTCAGAGGGAATCGCTTTCCTGTTGGGGAGTCGGAGTCGTTCTGGCAGGATACAGCCCTGCTTCTGACACAGGCAGTTCAACAGCGAAATCCGAGCAGCTTCACACATCAAGCTTTGGACTAAAGGAAAAGTCACAGGTAGCAAACTGCAATGTAGAGCTTTAAAGAGAACATGTCTTCAGCTCACACAGCATTTCACTTGCCCCAAAGCAGGCATTTCAAATCCTGGCAGCTGTGCAGACAGCAGCCACCCTGCAGCAAGGACAGTTTGTTTGGTTTCTTTTTTCCCTCCAACGGCTCTGCCCTAGGCCCAGTTCGTTTGCTTGCTAACGAAAGCCTAATACATCCACTGCTTGGAAAATAGGGAGGTCCTGATCCAAACCATCTTCTAACAGCCTCTAACTGGGTGCTCCTCAGAACATCAGGGAAACATCCCTTAAGAAAGGGTTTGAAAAAACCAAAGCTTAGTTTTCTTTGACCAATATGCCAGGGCTCAGTCCAGCCTCCAGCCAACCAGTGTTACAGAACCTTACAGACAGTCACAGCCACACTGACAGCCGTAACTCCCTGCACCATCCACAGCCTATTTCCACATCTGGAAACCTCTGCTGTCACCTATAAAATCAGCAATGTAATTCCAGAGTTTAAAAAAGCTCATAAAGAGTCATTGTCCGAGTGCTAATGCAGATAGACTTTCTGGCCCATTCCTCACAGTAATGCCAGGTAAGAAGCTACCCAGAGCGGCTGCCTAGAGTTCAAGGTGAGAAGGGAAAATAATTCAGATTGAAATATGTATGGTAATTTCTCTTTAAGCTGACAGTATAGTCCCATCCATTGTAGCATTACCTAAGCTCCTTGACCAAAAAGCAGAAGAGTCAAAATTGTTGTCAACTGATTATGACATATCTGGCTTCAAATTTAGTCTGTCATCTCACAAAAAGCTAAATTTACCCCAAATATAACTTACAAAGCCTGTTTCCCACTGGGCAAGTCACATTCACCTGGTGTCTTACCCTGACCAGAAAGTTGCTATAGCCAAAACTGCAGGACAGCTGCTCCAATCACACCGTAACTGCAGCACACGCTTCCATGGCTGCGCACAACAAGGACCCAGTCAGTTATTTCCCCACCGTATTTTGTTTAGAATAGAAATACCCCAACTAAAAGTTAGCTAAACAAATAAGCGCGAAAAAAAACCACCACACCAAAACCCAACGACAACAAACACGACAAAACCGCTGTTCACAACACCTAGATAAAGCACTGAGGTTCAAATGAATGTATTATGCAGCCCCATACATTTTGCAATTCATAATACTGCCCTCATGAGGTTTCCTAGGAAATTATTCAACCACCCAACTTCCCCAGATGACCATAAGCCATCTTCCTGAAGCTTTACCTTATCGTTAGAAATCAAAACTTGAGAATTAGCAAAATATCATACACTGCATCTCCTCACAGCACTGCTTACAAGTGGGAACTCGTCAATGGACCAGACTATGCTGCGCATCAAGGGCTGCTGAAATCCTGACATCTGTCTGCATTCAAGTAGTTCAAGCATTAAAAGAATGTGAAATTCAGTGTCTGGCAATACTCTGGATGGTCCCACATCTGGAAATTGTCATGTTTCGTTTTTAAATTTTCCATATTTTTTTATAAAATAACTAAGCCAAAGGAGACAAAGCCGTAAGAGTTCTGTTTTCCTTAGCTTTTCAAAAGGCTACTGCAATCATTATGAGATAAGCAAAGCTGCCCAAGCTAAGTATTTCAAAGATACGGGAACAGATAAGATACAATTGCATTAACTTGCAAAAAGCAGTGAGATTTTATTTTCAAATTATTGTGGCCCCCATTTAGCAGATCCATCAGAAAAAAAGTGATGCTACCAGTATAGGCAAGTCCAAATCAGTTTTCGAACAGTGGACAATGTAACAAAGTTTAAAGCCAGACCTCAACAAATTCCTATCTTAATGTGCTGTTCAGCAACCAAAGACAGCAGATTACAACTAAGTTTAGTTACTGCTGCCTCCTCTACAAACACAGAGGCCTGGAACGTGCCATCCAACCGTCTTCTGTTAAGAACAGTATTCCAGTGAGAGAGAAAGAGAGGGGAAGGAAAGTGGGTCATTTCCTTTGTTCCTGTCAGGATGCAAGAAGTAAACTGTTAGAAACAGGCAGACTGGGAGCTTCTTAATAGGAACTAGCACAAAGAAAGCACAATGTAAAATGCACAAAGAGTGTTTCCATATAAGGATATTAAGCAATGTTTTTAAATAATCACTATAGAGTGACCGTAACAACCATTTCTACAGGCAGAATACCCCTCCTGATTTATCAAATGAGGTCTCTTTCTTCCCATCTGAGATTATAACACTCAGATTTTTTTAAAAAAATATTTAATAACCTAACCAGGAACCACAGAAAGCAGTAAAGACTTAAGTCTTTGCAAGTGCTGGAAATGGCCTCAACATTAGAATTGTAAAGTCACATTTTCAGACTTAGAAGCAGAGAAACACCACAAACATGTCAGTAAAATACCAGTATTTGTGGTTTCTCACAAAATGAACTACAAAAACCCACAAAGAAATGTCAGAAGCAAATACTGAGGCACATAAGTAAATAAATTATATATAGCTTCTCACGTGTCTTTCACATACAGAAACCAGAAAGTTATGTGAAAAATAAAAACTTCCTCACTGTATTCCAAACTGGATATAGGTGTATTCAAATACATCCTAGCTTACACTACCGAAGTGCTGTGAGGCAGCAGGTCCAGCAGAGCCTGTCCTGTGTGTCACCCTTTGTTCCCAGTACGTCCTCATTGGAAATAGATGTTGCCAATTGAAGGAATTCTCTTCTACACATTAATGACTGAACACATTTCTGCATTAGTCTTACTCAGGAAAAGGACTACATCACTGCCACTAAATACTGAACGTAACAGCAAACTTGCAGCTAAACCAAGCTAAGTGTATACCACTGCTTAGTCTTTGAATTCAGTGTTTGTAAGTTTTACAGATGGTGCTTTGATAATGTATTTGAACCAGTATCACATCAGATAGATTCTTACTGGGAATGCATTGCTGTTCATCAAAACTTAGAACATTTCTGTGGCTTAACCTCATGCATATGCACATCAAAGGGTAGCAAGGACTAAGCAACTAAGGGAACCATGTATGAGCACTGTTCTTAAAAGGAAAAGGTCTAGAAACAGTAATTCGTGATTCTAGAGCTCTAATTCTAAATAGTTTATTTAGAGTTCCCATACAATGTTAACATATTACTCTAGACAACTTCATTTCTTACTGACATTTCACAGAATAGGCACTTAAAAAGCACGAAGGAGGCAACGATA